AATTAGTGAGGAATAGTAGTGTAAATCTAATTTGGGTGTTTTGATCCCTTGTGTAATATAACTTTAGTGAATTGTCTAAAGAGTAAAGTTGTATTATAGGCTCTAAGTGACAAGTGTATCGTTGCCGGTGCAGGTACAAAACATGATGCAACAAATTTATAAAATGTAGGGTACATGGACGTGGCTACACATATATGTATATACATTAACAATTTTTGTTAGGTCAATATTATTTTTTTCATTTCACGTGCTCACTGTTTTAAAAAGCTTCTGCCTAGTCCGCCTAGGCGTACGCCTACGTAGGCGGTATCTAGGCCCCCTAACAAGCGCCTAGCGCCTGGCGGTACCTAGGCTGCTGGTCTAGATTTTGGGAGTGTTTAGTATAGCATTGTCTGCTTATATGGACTATACTTTTTAGTCCTTAATTATGATTTTCTATGTTGCAGCCACACGCCCTCCAAACTCACTTCAAACTCCTTTAACCACCAAATATGAACACCTTTACTACCTCCTCTGACCTTTAGCAAAACCTCCTCGACCACCACTTAAATGAGGAAAGAAATACGCCTAGACACCAGTACATCACCTAAGCTTTCTATAACATTGACATTTACTATAAATTATTATAATTAAAAAATAAAAAAGAAAATATCTTAGATATAAGCCTCGGGTCCAACGCCTAGGACTCCCAACGCTCTCTATAACCTTGTTAGTTATTATTTTGGCTATTTAGGATTTAAGTATACATGGCTCATTGTGGAGCTAAGATTGCTATCTATTTTTTGACAAATTTATATGGTATTAATGCATATTTTTATCAATTATTATAATTAAATAATTTAAAAAATAGCCAAGGGCCTAGGCGTTTAGGCTTTAGGCGCTGGCTCAAACGCTTAGTCCGCCTAGCGCCTTCTGTAACATTGCACGTACTATGAACTAAAATTCCTATAACATTTATATGCTTCTTTCAAAATATAGATCTATAAATTAGAAAATTACTCATTTTTTAACTCGATATCCAAAAGATCCTTTATAATCATAGTTTTAAAGTGGATACGGACTAAAACAACCAGATTATGTCCCACAAATTTTAAGAATTGCATATAAAGTATAGGATATACATCCATGAAGTATATGTCAAGTATTTTAATTAAAACATGTATTAAAAAATTGAGTACACATTTGAATAATTGTATGCAAATACCTAAGGAGTGTCCATTGATGTTCCGGTGTTAGGTACACTGGTATGACACGGATACAAATAGTTAGTACCCATTCATCATATGTTATAGGGTTTTTACCTTTGTCCTCCAGTAGTTGGCATGCATCAGCAGGATAATAGTGGTCGCTCATTGGTCTAAAGAAATCTATATTTAATTATAGTGTATATTGTAGTCTCGTTTTATGGTGAACTTAATCTGCTTAATATCTCAAACACTTATTCAAGTTCTCACTTCCCTTGCAGATAATCTTGAGCAAAGTCTTGCTTGTTGGAACTTGAACAAAAGCATATATTGGACAGCCCGTAGTAACTAATGCTGCAGTACATGCTGTGGTTTAAGATGCAAAAAACCTCGTAGAGTTTAGTTTCCTCAAATTTCTGTGTGTAGGGACAGGAAAAAAAGTGATCGTTTTCGAGTACAAGAAGAAAAAGAACTACCGGAGGAACATAGGTCATAGGCAGGTAGACGACTGATTGGTTTGCTTCGCTTTTCCTGGTTTTCTTTTCTTCTCTCTTTCTATTGGTTTTTTTTTGTGTGTGTGGGTGTGTGGTGTTTAGTTTCCTCAAATTTCTGTGTGTAGGGACAGGAAAAAAAGTGATCGTTTTCGAGTACAAGAAGAAAAAGAACTACCGGAGGAACATAGGTCATAGGCAGGTAGACGACTGATTGGTTTGCTTCGCTTTTCCTGGTTTTCTTTTCTTCTCTCTTTCTATTGGTTTTTTTTTGTGTGTGTGGGTGTGTGGTTAAAATCGAGGAAAGAACATAATATAGGAAAGACTTTTTGTTTAATATCTCTACTATCTAACATGGATGTCACAAGTAGAGTGTGAGTTTGAACACTAAAAAACAAACGTATACTATCGATCACGTTCGTAGGAATGCAAATTAATGTCTAGTACAAATTGTATGACAAATCATCTGACTTGATATGTTACTTATGACTTGGTAAGAACTTCAGGAATGGGCTATATTATAAGTATATACTACGATGGTGCTCACATTGTCAAATGGATTTTTGCTCATCCTTGCAGGATAAAAATCCATACTGTGGCATTGATTGCAATGATGTCGGGACCAATGACATGAAAGAGCAGAATGTATTCGAGACATTGATTGGAAAGCAGCAGCAGATATTACTGGCAACACAGGTTGTTAAAATGATCTTGAAGATCGATGATGTCATCAGCCCATCTGAGTACTGATCAATTTTTGTGAGTTTGTTGTGTGTTTTTATGTTTGAAGAAGCCTCTGCATTAGGATTTACAGAAAAAGTGTTGTGCCATTGTTTCTATGCTTAATTGTGGTATTACGCTGTCAGTTTCTTTTATTTTTCTTCTGTTCTCTTGCTCTTTCTTTCTTAGTTTTGTGGATGTTATGAAAACTTACAAAGTTAGAGCCTAGTTTTGTAACTTCTGTTGAATTTTGTTCGCCTATTCTGATTTCAGCTCGTGACAACTTCATCTTGAGTTTATTTGAAGAGTGTTTCGAGTTGATACTATTACAATAGATGATGCTAGAAGCCCGCCAAATGAGGTTGCTAAACCTATTCGTATCCGAGAAAATATCAGTAACTGTATCCGTTAGGATGTGGATATGTTTACTCAAATTTATAACCCATAGGATATGGTTGTGGATATGGTTTTTTAGTGAAATATCCGGATTCGTATCTGAATTATCCGAATGCATATTAGTCATATTTTTATGATAGTTTTAATTCTTAGATTATAGATTTGAGGTTAATTTTGATGATTAAGACGTCTAATCTTAGGTTTTTAGATATGATGAACATAAAAATGAACTTTTTTGTATCACATGAACTATTTTTTTCAACACTATTTAGTTTTCTCATAGCAGTTTTGTATCCGCGTGCATATCTACTTATATATCTGTATGTATATTTATATTCGTATTTAATTTTAGCCGATATAGATATGAATTTTCCTTACCGAGGTATGTATGTATCTGTATTTGTATCTGAGGTGGGTAAACGAATATTAATATGACAAGTATTATATCTGAGTCGTATCCAAACCAAATGCACCCCAGCTTTGGAAAATGTTGCAAGATTATAGGTAGACAAGGGGGACAAAAGGACTTGGGGTCGGATTGACCATCAAGAACTACAATTCTATACTACAGTGTTCATTCTCGTAGCTACCTTCAATAGTCTTTATTAATATTAAACTCTTTTATTAGTATTTATTATCATCGACTTGTCTGTTTAAGAAGGAGTGAATCCTTTTCTAATGAATTTAAAGGTGCTAAATGGGTTTGAAAAGTTCTTAGATGCTCTGTCCTATGAGCATTACACTACAACAGGAGAAGAGTATATAACAAAATAAAATTATTTAATTCCGTCATCTTCTTATTTATAAGCGAGTTGTGTCGTATAATATTTTCCTATTGGTGTGGTGTAGTGATTATGGAGCATCTAAGAATTTTTCGTCGCTAAAATGGTGAGAGGTAATTGCTATTGAAGGTGTGGATAAGGAGTCTGTAATTTTATCAAAGAAGGGTCAAATTCTGTCCAGGCAACTGCATTTTTGTAACCTCACCCATGTAATTCCTTGTCCCCTTTTAAATTATTTTTTCACAAGATAAACGCCCTAAAATTCAACTTTTGAAGTTTTTACCCCGTATAAAAAAGCATAAATTTCAATTACCTTGTTTTTAATGATCCTGATTTTATAGGGTGTTCGGTTCAATTTCTACAAATTATAGAAAATGTTTTCATCAAAAATATGATTTTCTTGTATTTCTTAAAGAAATTACTAAAACAATGTCTAAAAAAAATTCTTGCATAGATGGAGGAGTCTGCTTATTGTTGGGGTTCATCTAAAACAATGTCTAAAAAAAATTCTTGCATAGATGGAGGAGTCTGCTTATTGTTGGGGTTCATGTAATGCATAAACAATGTCTAAAAAAAATTCTTGCATAGATGGAGGAGTCTGCTTATTGTTGGGGTTCATGTAATGCATGCGGAGCTGGATAACTTAAAACGTGCGAAGTAGCTGAAGTTTTGTAAAGTTCATCTAGTTACAGGCTCTGTGTAGATGATTTTCCATTGAGATCTTGGCCAATTTACTCTTTAACCTTTTCCATGGCGCTGTCAATCTATCAAATGTTTACCTATCTGTTTGGATGAAGTTTTACATCTTTGATTTGAATGTTCTAAGTTTCCGGCACATTTAATAATTATTTAATTTAGACAAACGGGTTTTATTTTATCTTTTTTAGGCTAAGGGGCTCAAAAGAGCGTGAAAGACATAAAGATTGTACCACTTGATTTGGATCTAAATTATTTAACCATCTACCCTTCGCCCTACCAATGTAGCACTAACTTGCTCCCCTAAGAGCAACTCCAACAATGATCCTAGCTTTTCCCTATATTTGAGGAGCAAATATCCCATCATAAGAAATAGGGAGCCAAATAAGGAGCAAGTGCTCCAACAATGCTCCCCAAAAGGCTCCCTAAATAGTTTTGCACATTTTTCATTTACCTCCTTTTGTAATAAATAATTATAACGGCTATATTATAACGGCTATATTCCAACAACTAAATTGTAACGGCTATATTTCAACGGCTATATCATAACGGCTATATCATAACGGCTATATTATAACGGCTATATTCCAACAACTAAATTGTAACGGCTATATTTCAACGGCTATATCATAACGGCTAATATGACCTCTATAAATAATATCATATGCACTCTCATTTTTCACTCAACTCAAATTGTGTTCATTGTTAGCATCATTTTTCCAATATCATCTATGTCTCATAGCAACGAAATAGCTGCGCTCCTCATGGAAGAAGAAGCTGACGAGGAATACGCAATGTTCTTAGGAATGACCGCCGTTGAAGAGGAGCGGGTGGCTAACGAGAGGAATGCATCGCGTCATCTTGGTTCCGTTCGAGGCCATGTTGTCATTCAACGCGATAGAGTTCAAGGTCATAATAGACTTTATCGTGACTATTTCGCCGAGGAGCCCGTTTATGGTCCACGAATATTTCGAAGGCGGTTTCGAATGCATCGTCCACTTTTCCTCCGAATTGCATCCGTGGTGGAAGATTTTGATCCTTACTTTGTCCAAAGAAGGAATGCTGCAGGTAATCTTGGTTTATCATCCCTTCAAAAAATAACAGCCGCAATGCGGATGCTTGCTTATGGAGTATCTGTAGATTTTGTGGATGATTACGTGCGGATTGGTGAAAGCACGACTATTGAAAGTGTTAAAAGGTTTGTCAAGGTCGTTGTTGAAATTTTCGCCGATGAGTATTTGAGGTCACCAAACAATGACGATATCAGAAGATTGCTAGAGATTGGTGAACAACGCGGATTTCCTGGAATGTTAGGGAGCATAGACTGTATGCATTGGAGATGGAAGAATTGTCCGGCTGCGTGGCATGGGATGTATGCTAGTCACGTCCATGAGGCAACAATTATTTTGGAAGTCGTTGCTTCATACAATCTTTGGATATGGCATGCATTTTTTGGGTTACTAGGATCTCATAATGATATTAACGTCTTGGAAAGGTCAAATCTCTTTACCGAACTTACTGAAGGTCGTGCCCCTCCAGTTAAATACTCTATTAATTCTCATGAGTATACGATGGGATATTACCTTGCTGATGGTATATACCCACAATGGTCAACATTTGTAAAAACAATTTCTGCTCCACAAGGAAATAAGAGGAAAAATTTTGCACAAGCTCAAGAATCAGCAAGAAAGGATGTAGAGCGAGCATTTGGGGTCCTCCAAGCACGCTTTGCAATTGTGCGTGGACCAGCGCGATTTTGGGATCAAGAAGTACTAAAAGATATTATGAAAGCATGTATCATAATGCATAATATGATCATTGAAGACGAGCGAGATATTAATCAATGCGATTTTAACTATGATGCAATCGATGAAAGTCCAACTATATCATTGTCTCGTGAGCGCACACCACAACTTATTGAATTTATTCAAGCCCACCATCGCATTAGAGACAGACAAACACATTCTCAACTGCAGGCAGATCTTATTGAGCATTTGTGGCAACGACATGGTGGAGACTAGGAAGCATTGTGTGTTGTGTTAGTTCTATTGTCTGTTGTGTTAGTTCTATTATTTCTCTTGTTAGTTCTATTGTCTGTTGTGTTAGTTCTGTTATTTTTCTGTGTTAGTTCTATTGTCTGTCTTGTTAGTTCTATTGTCTGTTGTGTTAGTTCTATTATTTATCTTGTTAGTTCTATTGTCTGTTATGTTAGTTCTATTGTCTGTTGTGTTAGTTCTATTGTCTGTCTTGTTAGTTCTCTTGTCTGTTGTGTTAGTTCTATTGTCTGTCTTGTTAGTTCTATTGTCTGTTGTGTTAGTTCTATTGTCTGTTTTGTTAGTTCTATTGTCTGTTGTGTTAGTTCTAAATTGATAGTGTTAGTCCTAGTGTCTGGCGTGGTAGTTCTGTCCACCTCAGTTTTAGATCTAATGTGGGGGCTTATCACATGAAGTTCCCACTTTTGGGGCCTGGACACAATTTTCCCATTTTTTTAATTCAATCACACATAATAACATAAGCTTAATTACTGAAAATGATACATAACAACATAAAAACACACATAGTGAAAATAGCACAGCTTACAACATAATACTTATTAAACAATGACAACTAATTAAAACTACCATCAATTCCTTTAGCAATGATTCGCATCTTGAGTTGTTTGTAATATTCTGCTTGCATTGGATCCATGTTACTAGTATCAATTGACATGATTCTTTCATCTTCTCTTTGTTGTTTCAATCGAAGTTTTTCTTTCTTAATAAGAATCTTCTCTTGTTCTTGAGCATATATTCTGTCAAGTTGTTCTTGTCTCTTCTGATTGTTCACATCAAGCTTTTCAACGAACTCTTCAAATTTCAATGCCATAGGCATACTTGTATCAAACTCACGTTTTCCCTTTCCCTTTCTTAACAGTTCCTTTGTAGCTTTTCTTCCTATTGGTCTTTCCAATCCTTTGGAAAAGGTATCACGAGCAATATCATCTTCTCCCAAATTTATTGTATCTGGACTTGAAGGAATGGAACTTGCAGGACTAGAACTTGCATGACCAGATTTGTATGGAGTTTTAGATTTTTTTTAGAACTATCAATTCTCCACTTTGGTGCATGTAGGCTGTCTAAAAATCACAATAGATAGTTGATCCCCCATCAAACACCGATGATGGAAGTTACAATCTGATGACTTCTAGAAGGCTATAATTTGAGGACTTTCACGTAGAAGGTTACAATCTGACGACCTTCACAACAACTAATGAAAGCCCCAATTCAACAGCCTTCACAATCAACATCGGGAGTTACAATCTGACGACTTTCATATTTTCAAGGAGCCAAGACGAAGATTACAAGAGGACGATCTGTGCAAAGCTCTAGCAAAAGAGACTACAAATTGACGGTCTCTTCATATTAGAATGCAGATATCTCTCAAACCGTAAGGAATTTGGCACAAATTAATGTCAACACTATAATTAGTTTAAAAAAAATTAAAAATGAAATGAAAACTAATAAATCAGTTGTAAGTATAAAATATGAGAGAAATAAAATAATTAAGAGATGAACTAATTTACTTACCTTTAAAGAAAAATAGTATAATACCAAGTGCTTTTAAATTAGGAGATGAACTAATTTATCCTATACAAAGATGCAATATTTATAGATGAAAGGAGAATGAGAGGGGTTTTAATGCAAATATGACCGTTGCTTTTATGAACCGTTGCTTGTCACTGTGCATATAGGGAGCCTCTCACTTGTCTTTGATTTGGAAGATGCCCACAAGCACCCTATATTTGGAATATGGGATAGGGAGCTTGTTTGAGCCTATAATTCAACTCCTACTCCCTAAATTTGATCAAGGACAAAGGATGAGGAGCCTCTTGGAGTTGCTCTAAACACCCACCAGGTATTCAAACCGGATGTCCGATATTTGCTTAAATACTGTCCGTACCTTAACCTGCGTACAAAATAGTGCAATTTATTGCATCACACTCCAAAGCCTGTACTTGCAACTCCAGGGCATAAACACAGCTTTTCTTTACTAATTTGTTGTTCACAATGGTTTGGACGCTTGTTATTTTGTCATCATTAATGGAACACAAAATTTGGAACAACAAAAATAATCAAACTATGTAATTTCTGTATGACCTTGAAAAGTATAAACATGCCAAGCAAATTCTAAGGCGTGTATCGTAACAACTCGTAAGAGAACGGGAACTAGTTCCCCCGTTGTTCCTCCGACAATCAAGTCAGCTAGAGGCTTGAGTGGGAATATGAGAAAAATACAGCGAAATGGAGAAAGATGCTGAGAAATTTCTTACCTCTATATTTGGAATAGTTTTCCTTTTTATAACTAAGTAAGAGGGGTAGTCTATTCTTTTTGGCCGAGCCTGAGTTGGCGGCTGAGTCAGCATCAACTTTATAGGTATCGGTCGTGGATCGGATGCGTGATGGGTGCTGTTATTTCACCATTAATGAGATGTGATGGGCGGCACACGAAGCCGGCGTGGTCCGATATGTCATAAATAGTGTAGCGCACAGAGAAATGATGGCGCCTGCCAAGCATTTAATGTGACGTTGATGTGCTGTCAGTGGGGAAGGTTCGAGATTAAAGTCATCCTTTGGGTTGTAGAGAGGGTTGTCGAGAAGTAACGTCTTTCGAGTCGACCCTGTGAGGTATCGAATAACTGGTCAATAGGGCTCGTAGCGAGTCGTCTGTGTAGGCATCAAAAATTACCTATAGGTTCCCGCATGTAGCTCAAGACAAAAGATGATGAGCATCATTATCTAAGTCAAAGAGGATTATTTGACATCGATGAGCGTATAAACCAAGTCGACGAAGCGTACGAATCAACGGGACGATGAAATAACGAAGAGACGATCCTATTGGGAGTTACGGTTCACTCATTAAAGATGCAGCGCCACTCATGTCTCATCCACTCCACACATGATTTACTTATAGGAGATTGTAGATCTCCTCTCCGGTTTCCCAACGCACTTTTAATCGTGTTATTCTGAGATCAGACCGAGGAATTATGCGAAAAATAAGTCGAGGAGCGCAATCGGGACACACGACGTGTCTCAGCCAAGGCCGAGGTACAAAGTCTGTCTCGCGCCTAAAATGCTCATTTCACCCGTTAACCATCCAGATTTGAGTATATTCTGATCCATAGCCTCCCCAATTGATCTGAAGTTATCTTGGAATGTTGTTAAGTGGTTACAACTGAGGATGAGATCAAATTGATCGTTCTTATCCAAAAATCGAGCTTCTGAAGCCTATAAATATGGCCCTAGGGCCTTCATTTACACAGATCCAGAATTCTTGAGCCTTGGTAAAACCCTGTCGAATTAAAGAGTGAGGAGCACGAATTTTAGAGAGGAGTAAGGGATCTTGGCGAGTTCTTCAGCACAAGGAGGAGAAGAGTTCGAGAGATCTGCATCTCGTTCATCCGTTTTCCTTAAGATCGTACCTAGCTGCGATTCTCGAGAAGAGTTATTATCTCACTATTGCCGAGATAGTCACTTCAATTTCTTGTCTCCTTTGCGAGGCAACGAAATCGTTATTCAGATCTGATCAGTTGGTGGTCCACGGATAAACCTCGGCACTGGCAAAGATCCTGTGTAAGCAGAAGACCGATAAATGATCTATCTACGTGTATTCTCAAGAAAAATTATAATCTTTTTATTTACATTGTGTAAGGAGGCTTATAAAAAGTCCTTTCCCTTGAATTATTGTAACGACTGAAGTTGTAATGAGTCCCGTAATGAAGAAAATATTTTTTTTATCTAAACACGCTGGTGACCATAGTGGGAGCCAACAGCCTCACTGCCGAGGCTATCGTGCCGCTGCCACTGATCAAGATCCCCATGGATGAAGAGGTCAAATACGAGTTTGATCAGCAGAAGTTTGAGGAGTACGTCTCCTCCTCCTCCTCCTTCAGATCTTCCTCTCCCTGTGAGCGTAGGAAGGTCACTTTCGTGAAGAAGGTTAATTGGCCTTTAGATCTGAAAACTCAAGGTGATAATCTTTACCTGAATACTGTTGAAGACTCACCTCCGGCCTCTAAGAAAGATGGATCTGACGCTGGTGACAACTCCTCAAAGGTCACGGAGCTGCCCGTCGATGGTGCACTGGTGCTGACGAAAAGGGCTCGTCAGAGGCGCCGCCAACGTCTAGCTCGCCAATTTGCCAAAGCTTTGGAATAGGTGGATGGACTCCGCTACTAAGCGGATCTAGAGTTTAGAAGGCACCAAGTAGCTAATCCATCACCGCATCAAGCATCGTTATCCTCCTCCTAACCATCTGTAGGCATATAAAATTGCTTATAGGTCCTTTAGCTCAGCTCGGCACAAACCGACGAACCAACGAGGCGACGAGATCGACGAATCGCATCAAGCGACGGAATGCATCCATACACGTGCGGGATCAAGCCAAGGGTTCGAAGAGTCAACGAGTCATCCAACCAAAGGCATACTCGGACGAATGACGATCGAATCAAGATCGGTTTCGGACTCCAACTCAGAAGCGGATTTACTGCCAAATCAGGAATCCAATTTACTGCCAAATCAGATCATCAAATCAGAGACTAAGTTAATCAAATCACGGACAGAACCAAAGGCGGAAAACACCAAAACCACCACCTAGAGGGGCTCGGCCGAAGCCGAGCCAACTTCAGGTGGCTCGGCCCAAGCCGAGCCACCTCAAGGTGGCTCGGCCAAGGCCGAGCCACCTCCAGGTGGCTCGGTGGCCG